TGCATTATGTAAAGGTACAATTCCCAATGAGAAATGTAATTGTGTTGTATACCTACAATGTACCAATAAAAGAATTTAATAAAAAAATAAATTTAGCAAAGGACAAAAAAAAAAAAAGCATGGGATAAGCATGGAACCCTGGGGACACCAACTCACCGGGGATAGATGGGAGTAAAATTCCCAAGGATGCAGGCGAGAACAGTCAGAGAAGTGCAAAAAGAACCAGAGAACGATAAAGCAAGTGTGAACCAATAGTGTCAGTGATGGACGTGTCAGTGGAAGATCAGTGGCATCCGGACAGAGATCCATGAAATTACAAACTGAAAGGGATCCACGAGATGAGGGCATTGGGAAGTAACTAGTGCCTTCATTCTAAACATATCCAGGCAGGAAATTGTGCCAAGGACATTTAGCAATGTAGTGAAACAGGACTAGAGGGACAAACTGAATCAACTAACAGAATCAAATGGCTTCTGAAGTCTGGGTGGAAAAGGAAAAAGAACAGACAGTAGCCAAATACAAGTCCAAGGTGACAGGAAGGCGGTTTTCCCTTGTTTTGTTCCATTTTGTTAAGGATGAGAGAGGCCTGAACGCGTTTACGTGTTAAGGCGAATGAACCTAGAAAGAAGAAAAGAATGACCCAAACCATGTTATTATATCAGAAAATCACTCCCAGTAAGTGGTGGTAAGTTTTGTATATTTTTTCATTCAATAAATATTTATTGCATGTCTACTGTTATATATGGCACTGAACCCAGCCCTCGTTCTGACTTTTTGAATTAAGTAAGCTTATGAAGGCATGCGTGAGTGACTTTCGGCTCTCCCAAGACAAGAGATGCATACGAAATTCAAACTGAGACTAGGTGCACACTGCAATTCAGAAAACATCACTGTGACCTTCCAAATGACAGCTTTTAAAACACAGCAAGGCTGCATTTCTATTCTGCATTTCAGCTGCTGGCTGTTTCGGCAAACTTTGTGAATCTCTCCTTTCAAGTTAGGTTCACTTCTGGGTTCAAAGCTATAACACTCCAAGGTTTTAGACTACAAACTGAAATGCTGATTTATTTCAGAGAAGAATTCGCACAAGAGAACAGCAAATCCCCTGCTACTAAACAGAAAAGCAACTGTGAATTAAGTTATTAGCTTGTTTTTGCCTAAGGAGCTGAAAGAAATATGTGGATTGCAGGTGTCTAATTTCAAGCCTAATTGAAATCTTTTTGTGGACTCTTAGGGAAGAGAGTTTGTGCACTATTAGAAAACTTAGAGTTTCCTTAAAATTGTCCGTGTGACTTATTCTAACAGAGACACCACTAAAGGGGGAATCATTTTCATTCATAATACCACACAGGCAAATTAAAGAAAACAGAACTAATGCTCAAATCAATAATGGCAGCATTTAGCTGCATGGTAGCATACAAAGTAGCATGGTAAATAAACTGCCTTTACAGGTGGAGATTTTTAGAACCCCATTATGAATTGGAAAAACAGAAGATTTCCTATTAAAATATGACTCAAATTTCAAATAAGACTTCTATTGTTTTTTGGGGGGGGTAATTTTTCAACTTCCTGATGTGAACTCTTTTTGCTCTATAAAACTGTTTAAAATTTCCAAAAGTTATCAAAATAGAATAAATAAGGCAAGATATTATTTACAAATAGGAAGTAGAAGGTTTTTGGAAAACGTTTAACAGTAAGGAGAAAATATACATTAATAAAACCAGTAATAAAATTAGGGGAAATATCAAAGAGGTCCAATCTATATTAGAGAGTTGATGGTTCTTAATGGGCAATTAAGAGGAAGTCAGGGCAACCAGAACACATTTTTATCTTTTAAGACTTAAGTCCCAGAAAGAATGGGCCTGGGATTTAGCTCAGTGGTTTCACTGCCTGCTGCACAAGCCGAAGGACCCAAGTTCGATCCCCGGCACCAAAAAAAAAAAAAAAAGAAGAAGAAATTGCCATCCAGGCCCTAAAATGGCCTTTGCTACCCCTTACAACATATGTGCTGGGAAGTGATGATTATATTCTTTTACTGACATTATGTGCTTTAAAATAAAATTAATGCTCATAACCAAGGCAGACTTGGTGCAATACTACAATTCTACAGAGTTCTGGAAAGTTTCTCTAACAAATAATGGTTAGAAACAAAACCTGCAAACAAAATATAATATGGATATTCAAATGAAAGAAAAAGATATTCACTGATGGCTCATGAGTTTGCCAACACAAAAATAGTTTGTTATTTTGATCCCAACATGAAAAATGTTCACATTTTCTGTGAAATTAAAAAATCTATATTCCTTTTCCAAATATAATCATACATACAGTTTTAACTTTTATTTCACTGGCTGTTGGAGAGATTCCAAAAATCGTACAGCTTTTTAAATTTTTTACTCATTAACTGAAACCACTTTATAACAATGTCTATAATTGTCCTAGAATATATATATATGTATATTTCTTTTTCCTATAATCATATTGTTACCATGTTCACTTGTACAGTCACAACTGATGCTAAGAACACAAACAACTCTCAAAATGAAAATGATTTCTGATAGAAATAATCTTGCAATTTTAGCTTCTTCCAAGTTAGAAAAAGCAATCTATAATTCAAAAGCACAGTGAAAAGTGTTGTCTTGACAAATTTGTGTTCTCCCAATTTGTGAGTTTAATAAAAGCCTGCAAGCATCCTGGATATACTTTGTGATGCCAGTGAATAAAAGGACCATAAGGAAATTAGCAATTTAATATTGAAATGTGTGGATTATTTCTGATATTCTATATTGGAATATCTTCCAGTAACAAGACCAGCACCTGAATGATTAATCAAGAAAGACTCTAGGGAAGGCTGAGAATTTAGCTCAGTGGTTCTGCCACCTGTCTCACAAGTGCAAGGTCCCAAGTTTGATCCCCAGTACAAAAAAAAAAAAAAGAGACTAGGGATTTTTATTAAAAAGCAATATTAAAGAATCCTCTACAACTTTCAGTGTCTGATCTCCTCTACATTTTAGTTAAGAGGGTGGAAAGGTCACTTCCCACCAGCAGCCTGTATGTTTGTTAAGTACACGTACAAGAGTTACAAAATGATAGCAAAAGATGATGTTCGAGTTGTACATTTGGGAAAGTAAAGATATATCAAAGATTGCAGTCTCCCTTGCTTTTGAAGCCCATGGTTTGGTGACATTTCCCAGCTTACCTTGTGGCTAAGAAAAAACATGTGACTAAATGGTTCCCAGTGGAATGTGAACAACAATGAAACATCCTAAACCTTGTGGTGACATGCTTCCCCCATGCTCCCATCCCAAGCCCTTCAAGGAATGATGGTGACCTGACTTGGAACATACAAATGAAGACAATGTCCCAAGGGGAGTGGACATTCAGAGATGGAACCCTTGGTCCCCGATGACTTCAGGGAATTAGACCCCTGATCATATTAAGAGCTCTCTACAGACTGTTAAATGAAATTTCTCCTTCCTTTCTGCACTTGAATTTTTACTGGGTTTCTCTGCTATAGAAGTCTAGCCTGACCTTAACCAATACCAAAGGTATATAGGACCTTAGAAATGGTAAGAAAGGTGGCCAGTCCAGACTAAAACAAGAAAACTGTTCTTCCTCTTCTATAGTCTCTAGGTAGCATTGTTCTATAGCACAGCATACTCCCTAAAAAATAGTTTCCACATATAAACATAATTTCTCCATGTGTCTAAAAGAAATATGATCTTTTAGGAGAGATGGATGAAAGTGAGAGGGACCGATTAAGCCATTTGAATCCTAAATTTTCTCAAATCCAAGAAAAACACACAAGCAAACAGGTACAGTTGCACTTCTTTGCAGGGACAAATTACACAATCTAGGCACTGTGCTGAGACCGAGTACCTCTTCCTTTTGTTCTCTTCCTTTTATAGCGGGCTTCAGCTTCATTTCAGCAGCACAAGGCTGGCGCACAGAAGGAATGTAAGAAGGAACACGGCTGCTTATGTCCTCTTCCACTTCTCCTGGAAGCAGCACCAAATCTGTTGGATGCAAAATATTTCAATTAATCCTTTGGCCAAGTTTACAATTTACCTAAGTCATCTAAAAGCCTACCACAGTCAAAAGAATAAGGAAAATATGTTCTTTGAAAGTAGGTGCACTTTGCAATGCCTGTCCTCATTTGGGAAACCAACTGAAGGGAATCTCCTTTCTATAAAACAGAAGCCATTAATGCCTTTATTTTATCTTAATGTTGCAAAATTACAGCCAATCTAGAAAGTCTGGGAGAACTGATGTTTTAGGAGTAACTTGATTGTGCCTTACACTCCTAATACAACTTCTACTTCTAAAGGAAAACAAAGCAGGAAGATACTTCTTTTGCTTCATTTTCCCCAATTTTCCTGCAGGGGGTAAGAGAAAGAAAATGGAGTGCTGGTCTCATCCTGTAATGATATAGCAATATTTCAAAAACATATATACTACAAAACAACGATGCCAGAAGGAAAGTATTTTACCTCTCAGCAGAAAAATGAAATACTCTGTCATAGTCAAAAAGCATGGTCTCATTTTCAACACTTGCAAACAACAACATGTTTCCTGCTTGTTTGTTACAATCACAAGAATTCAATAACCTATCTTGGTTTTCTGATCCATTCATTAGAAACGAAGGCGCTCCCTTATTGTCACATAGTGTGATCGTTTATGAATGCATCACAGATGCTGGTGATCTTCCACATCTTTCTTTAAGGAGGTCAAACAAACAAATAGAAGCACAACAGGTTTCCCCTCAGTCTGTTTCCACAGGACCAGAAGGTCTGGCTAGAGCTGGCCAATAATTTGCAGCTAGCTCAGGATGCTGCTGCCTGCTACTCTGGGATGATCCTAATTAAGCCACTAATTAAGTTCTCAGTGGAAGTGATTAATTAGCAATAGGCATATCTTGGCAGTTGCCAATGGCAGCATATATAGGAAGATAACTGAGCAGGTATTGATATTCAAAGACTGAAACTTATTTGAAATGCACCTCATGCCACTGTCACTATCACCCTCAGGGAAAAAAAAACAACATAATGGCAGAACTGTTAAAACTGGCAATACAGACAACCTAGAAATGGAAAAATGTACTGGGGAGATGGTGAAGAAGTTCTATTATGATCATTTTTTGAAATCTTAGAATATGATTTCATTAATTAGCAGAAATAAAAAATAATAATAGCCAACATTCTCATGCCCAACATTTCTAATTTATTATGTTCTGTGCGTCAGGCTCTGAGCTCTAAGCACTGATAGTAACCTCACTGGATCCCACAGCTAGAAAAGGCAGAGCAAGGCAGTCTGTATCTCAGCACATCATGAACTTCTTTTAAATAAGCACTTTCGTTACATGTTTTACTTTAATATGATCAGATTATGCATCCAAACTCTGGGTGAAGAAATGTCACTATTGCAGCAAAGTAGCATAGTTAGGCAGCAGCAAGTGCACCTTCCAAAGATTTCTTTACCCAGAGAAGTACAGTATTTAAACCCAAGAAGGTAGGCAGAGGGACTAGTTTTCAAATTACCTATTTATGCATTCAAAGTCAAACTCCTGCACTGAGCTCCCACGTGTAATAGCCTAGGGCTGATCCAAGCCTGGGTAGGGCCAGCTAAAGCAAGGCAAGAAAGAGGTTAGGCCTCTCAATGTGAAAACCGACTTCTACCAGACCCACTGGCTGCCGGTGTAAATACTGGTTCAGATGTGAAACCAAAATCAATTCTGCTTTCACAGCTATTTAAGATCATCATTTTGACTGACAAATTGTGCAGCAAGAAGGAAAAGCCTGCATTTGCATTACTGAAACTCTTCCCTTCCCTAATCTGTTTGCAAAATCTGGTAAGATTTTCAACAAAAGATAGTTTCTTTCATAACAATTCTACAGCCATGGGAACAATTCTTTCAAAACAAGACTCCACATCTTATATTCTTGTCATTTATTTCTTCAGTCTAAAGGCAAAATGCACCAATACAGATTTACTGATGCCTAACAAAGCACCTTATGCATAGTGAATTCTCAACCAATACTTGGAGACAGAAAATGAATTTTCTGCATCTCAGTCCTTAACCTGAACAGCAAGCTATCAAAGTCTACCTGCCAACTAACATTGTGGATGATGTAAACTAAGTACAATCCTTACCCTAAAAAACTACCAGTTGTTACACATATAAGTCTTTGACCTATAAAACCAGAGAATGGTCAAGAAAAAAACTGAATGGCTCTAAGTATAAAGAAGACAGATTTATAAAAGGTAAAACAAGGGCCAGGGATTTAGCTCAGAGGCACTGCCCCTGCCTCGCAAGCGCAAGGCCCTGAGTTTGATCCCTGGTACCACAAAAAAAAAGGCAAAACAAAATATGAATTAAAAGAGCCTGGGAGGGCATATGTCATGAAGAAAACTAGTGCTATTTTATGATCATAGGTATGTTATTTATGTACATACTCACATGCTCCCAGAAGGAGAAATTATTGTATTCACTGATGGTGGGAGAGGAATTCCTGAAATGCCCTGCAAAACTTTCTAAAACTAAAGTCTCATAAGAGACTTAATCCAATCTAAATTATTGTGTCTAAAACAACCAAAAGCCTTGGTTATTTCTTAACCAAATGTCACTATGTTGGTTGGCATGAACTCTAGAGTCAAGACAACAACTTCCAAAAATGAATTCTGAAGTTGCATTACAAGAATGGTTGAAACATTTTAATCTCTTCTTTCTCAATTACATGTTAAGAATTTCTACTATTATACACTATTTATGCCATTTGTCTTTCTGTATTTAGTCAACGATCAGCAAGACAAAGGCTATATCCATGTAAACTAATAAATTGAAAAGCGAGCAATCTACTTTGACCTCTGATAACTTGGACTACAATAATACTTAACTTGTCTGACATATTTGTAAAATTGACCAATCTATTTGCTTCCTACCATGTAAAGTGGTCACAGTTTTCTGAGAATTTGGACTTCTACAACCAAAAAGAGCATGGGATAAGAAATGCTTTAGCCATTGAGGCCTCTTGTACACGTAACTGCCAGCTATGACAGTCTCAGTCAGTAATTCTTTTTCTAAAAATTACTGAAGACCCAAAAAGCTTTTATTATTTATATGGATTATCACTATTAACATTTGCCATAAGACTGATACATATTCCAATATTACTTATAATATCATTAAAATAATTCTATTACATATCAAAAGTATTTTTATGAAAATTGTATTTTCTAAAAAACTAAGAAGCACTGTTTTACATTTTTTCAAATCAATTTTAATGTCTGCTTTAAATGAAGAAAGCCAGATTCTATATTTGTTTCTGCATTCAATATCTGAAATATGCTGTTTCAGCTGAAGCAAATGAAGAAAATCTAGTCTCACACAGAAAATAGCTGGAAAGGGGAGAATTAAAATCTTTTTATGTGATTGTGAATATTCTTCTTGATACTATACCAGCACCTAACAAATGATAGTTTTTTAAAGGTTGGTTTTAATGAATAATCTGAAAACATATCATTGCATTTTTCAGTGACATTAAAATCTATTGGTCTATCTTGCAATTTGAATGAATATTCCCTCTGTGCATAATTTTGTAACATCATGAATTGTTTATTTGGAAAATATTGATTCACTGTGTTAGGCAGATCTTCCAAATGTTGACATATTTCATTATGCAGACTAAAAATCCCATCAGTTAATATCACCAATTTTACCAGAATAGCCTCCAAATATTTGAGAAGCCATCAAGCTCATAGTATTGGATACAAGTTTTCTAAAAATCTAATTTTCATTTGATCTATTGCCAATTTCATCATTCATTTTATCATTCATAGCAGCATCATTCATTTTTGAGAACCAGTTTGTCAGTCATTCTTTCAAGTAAAAACAGGCATCTATTAAAGAGAAAAACTAGTCTAGCACATCACTCAGTCACCTGGGGTTCTTTCACAAGGCAACCACTTCCAGACACAGTCAAAATGCTATATGGGAACTTGTTGTTTTTTCACACAAATCATTAAAAAGAAGTATGTTAAAGGATCAAGATTTAGTAAAATTAATGATTTTTGCTACTTCATCAAGAACATTTTCGTTATAAACTGGCATTCATTGTGACCATAAATCAATGACAATAAAGACAGTGACTGCTTGTGCAGTTTGGTACCATTATGACTCACCCTAAGCCAGCAGCATCATCCGCTTCACTGTTCTGCAAAATCAGTGTGAATGTCAATGCATCTGACATGCAGACCTCAGGGTTTTCCAAGGGTTCCCAGATTACATCCTCAGGGACCCATTACTCTAGTTAATATCACTAGTTAATATTAATCCAACCCTCCCACCAAGAACAATTAGAAAAGCTGAATAAATTACCAAAAAAAATCCAACTATTTGAAAGCACTGGAGAGTGTCCAAGGTAGCCCATGAACTGAAGAGCCCATTAAAAAAAAAAGCACTTTGCAAAATAAATGAAAGAGTAGATAGCCATAAAGAATGAGAAATTAGAGACATTTATAGCTAAATGGATGCACATTGAGGCCATACTCTTAAGTGAAATAAATAGGACACACATGTGTAAATACCAAATAGTTTCTCTGGTATAAGAAACTGAAAGTGTAAATAAGGATTAAAATGAATAATTGATAATGTGAAATAGGAAGAAAAGGTCCAAAGGGGTAGGAGAAGTGGGAAGGGTAGGAGAAAGGAAAGAAGGGAAAGGAAAAAATATAAGAAAAAAAATGGAATCAAAGCCTTTGTAAATAGGGAGGGGTGGAGGGATTAAAGGGAGGACAGGGGAATGGGGAAAAAATAAGAACTAAAATACAGCATGTAAAGGTACAAGTTCCTAATGATGAATGTAATTGTATTGTACACCTAAAATGTACCAATAAAAGAATTTAAGAGTAAATGGAAGAGTAGAAAAAATTTAAAATTTTTAAATTATTTAAAAAACTAACAAAAAAATTAAACAAGTAACTATTAATAGAGTATCCTTGTAAAATATAGACTTTTTCC